GTCAAGTACCTGGAACTCCTGGAGAAAACAAGTGATCAGACAAATGTGAGACAAATGGACTGGAAAAAGAGAGGGAGGGACAGAGAGGAGGAGCAAGCATAGTGGCCAGGGCAGGAATGTTTCTTACTACAAATCAATGAGCAGGTGTATTATTAAATACCCACTGAAGATTCCAAATTACTGAAAGCTGCCTGCTTTCAGCAGTTGTACAGCACCTCTAGATTAGCAGAGATTTCTATTGTCTTTGCCACTCTCCTTGGCATCTGATCTCTGGTCCCAGAGATCCACTCCTGCAGCAGCTCTTGCTGGCTGGGGTTCAACCATGACACAGACAGGCAGGAACTGTAGGGGTAGCATTTGCAAAGGGAATTTTGATTCTGCTGCCACAAAACTAAGGGATGGCCACCTAGGAGATGGTGTGCCAGTCACTGCTGCGTGGCTGAGGAGAACCAGGTTTTTGGCAGAAGCCCTAAAACCACTTTGGTACTAAAGGCATCTGCACTCTGGCAAGGTGTGCATCCTCATGGCCTCATGGATGCTGTTGATGGCCTTGGACTGGCATCTTTCATGACACCTTGCTGAAACAGGATTCAGTCATCAGCCCCCAAGATGCACAAAAGCAAACTCCAGGTTTCCATGGAGAATCTATTCTGCTTCCTCCCTGCATATCTGAAGTTCCTACCAAGGAGGAGCCAAAGCAGTGAGATGCATTTGTTTGATATTGCTTTTACAATGGGAGAATGTGCATTGGGGAGTGACTTTAAAGCATTAGACACTTACAAGCAATGAGCCAGGCAAAAAACCCCCAGGGTTTTACCTTATCAGTTGTTTAAAATTATCAGTCTTGCAGATACAAATTAACTAGATTGAGATTTGGCTATTATTCAGAGATGGGGAAGCCCCTAATCAAAATCACATCTCCTCTGGAATTTTTGTCTGCTGGCATTAGAGTGCACAATTCCTCCTTTATTGGAGCAGGAAGCCTGCCCTTCTATGGTTCATTATCAGCCTGCACTGTGCCCCTCCCAGTGGTGTTCACAAATCGATGACTAATCCTGATCCAAATCAGTTATCAGATATGCTGGAATTGTTTTCTGTGCCCTGAGACAGCAAAGAAATAGCTGTTAACATCACTCTGCTGAAAGCATTCCAGTGCAGGACAGACCTGGGATGTGTCTCAGGGGAGCACGGTGGGATACTAAATGCAGCTTTTGCCTCAAGACAGTTTAGACCCTTTTAGAAATTCTTAGATCCATTTTTTCGACGGGGTGGGAAGCAAATAAGTGCAGTAACTCTCAAGAAGGAGGAAATTCATCCTCTTTGAGTTTAATCTTTAAGCTGAACTTCAGGAACTAGCTTCCAGGACTGTATATTGCTTTTTTTTCCCATCTTTTTTATTCTGTGCAGCATTCTGAGAGGCTGGTCAGTGCATAAAGCAATTCCCACTGGCTCAAGAGAAGAACACTGCTGGCACTGAGCAGCTGTCCCATTGTAACAAGGTACAGTGACTAAACAGTCATTTCACTGCCTGGGTAACAAACTCGTACAAGGCAAATTCCTTCTCTTTGGTAAATGATGCGCAGAAAGTGGCATTTCCATTACATCACCCAGTGCATAAATATAAAAGAGGGTTTAATTCTCTACATGACACAATTACTTCCAAAAGGAAGATCTGGAAAGAGAGACCCCAGTGAACATATCTGCAGGAATTTATGAGGGAGTAATTGGTTTTATCCAGGGTGACACTGCAGGGTCACGTCCTGGCACACTTTAACACTGGGAGAATGGGCATATTTAAAGTGCCAGAAGGTGAGATAAAAATCCTGTTTAAAAGATTATGTCTTGCCAGCATATAATCTGCCAGAACACTACAGGAAATTCTTCTTTACAGCTTCTGGGTGTATTTTTGTCCCATAAGGTACAAAGCAATCACTGTGTTGCATGTTGAATGTATGACAAATACTGAAGGCACTGTAGGCTGTGTGCTTCTGCTCACTGATGCCAATGAAGCAATTTGTTATTACTGTAGTCTTCAATTCTGAAACCAGTGCATCAGGAAGGAGGTTGGTAATGCAGGATACAAACATGCCTGTATTGAATAAGATGCTGTTTAGACCAACAACTCCACTGCCTTTGCTGCACAGAAAGGAGAAAATAAGAAGGAAAAAAAAGCTGCTGTGAAGACTCTCCAGAAAAATAATTATCTTCAGAAAAATGTTCCTTTTCCCTCCAGAAAAATGTTCTGAAAGAGCAAGAATTCAGTCCCTAGCATTATTCTCCTTTCTCATCCTTGGCAGGGCAACGGCCCACAGCACGGTGGCAGGCACTGTGCAGAGACAGATCCCACCCCAAGGAACCAAATGACCAAGCTAGTGGGTGGGAGAAAGGGAAAAGCTGTGGATGTGTCCACCTGGACTTCAGCAAAGCCCTTGACACCATCTCCCAGAGCATCCTCTGGGAAAACTGGCAGCCCACAGCTTGGGCAGGGGCTCTCTTTGCTGGGGTAAGAACTGCCTGGATGGCTGGGCCCAGGGTGTGGTGGGGAATGGGAATTCTGCACCCAGAGCAGTGTCCCCAGCCCTGATTAATCTCTTTTCTCAGGGCTCTGGATGAGGGGATTGAGAGCAGCCTCAGCAATGTGTGGCTGACACCCACTTTGGTGGCATTTGATTCCCTGGAGGGCAGGAAGGCTCTGCAGAGGGACCTGGGCAGGCTGGGTCCATGGGCTCAGGCCAGTTGTGTGAGGTTCAATCTCATTTTCAAGCTCATGTAGAAAATAAAACAATACAAATGTTATATTTCACACCATTGCAATCAAAACCCAACTATTTCCTAATCACAATACATTATAAACATTCCTTAGCTTATCCAATTTATCACTGTATCATATACTTTATACTATAAATAGTTTAAAGCTAATAATCTAAAATTACTCTTAATAAAATTACTCTTCATCTTATTCATAAAACCATCCTTCAAAACTTATTTCTATTTCTCTCTCAACAATATTTACCCTATTCCACAACATTTCTAAATCAGTATTTCTTCTCTCAGTATTTACATATTCCCTGAGCTGGGCACTGGTGGGGTCACAGCTCGAGTGCTGTGTCCAGTTCTGGGCCCTCAGCTCAGGACAGACACCTCACTTACTATTTATCAATATTTCCTAACAAAAACCTTATCTCCAACCCAACAAAAATAAAAAAATTTACACTACATAGATAACTCAAGACAGCATCAAAACCAAAAAACATTTTATTCCATTTTTAATCTCATATAAAAATTAAAACAATACAAATGTTATAATTCACACCATTACAATCAAAACCCAAGTATTTCCTAATTACAATACATTATAATTCCTTAGTTCTTAACTTTTACTGCACTATACTATAAATACTTCTTTAAGTGCTATTTTGCTGTTATTTCTATGCAGTTTCTTGATTATCATATCTCTTTCTTGAGCTAGTTAAAAAGTATCTTACATAGCATAGTTTCTATTTGAACATTGTGTTATAACCTAAAATATATTTAACACACTACTTGAGAGAATTAATACAGAATATCTTTCTAACATTACACATATAATACTCATTGTAATATTTGTGAAAAGCTAATAATAAAATACGCATTTTTCTCAGATACATATTATAATAGTGGCTTTTGGCAAAAGTTAAAGTGGATTTTATATGTGTGGTGTTGAAGTAACTTTGTTATAAAGGTACAGTTTTTATTCCTGCTGTTCATGGAGCTCAGTGCAATAGCTGATATCAGTGTGCTTGTGTTGAAATTCCTGCTGGGATGGGATAACACACAAAGGGCACAGGACGAGGACAGATGTGCCAACCATCAGCACTCACCCTCTGAAGGCAGCGTGGGCCAGGGCCCAGAACTGGAGGTGATAAAAAAGGACAAAAAACCACAACCGAGAGATCTCCAGGGCTGGTTCCTGGGGGTGGGATTGCCTCGCTCAGCTTTGGGGCTGGACTTGCTCCAATGATCCCAGACCAGGCTTGGGGAGAAGGGTGTTCCACTGAGGGTGGACACAAAGAATGCAGAGTTTATGGGCTCCAAGGACATTTAGCAGAGCTCCCAAGACAAGGAAGAAACAATAAAGACAGCTCAGCGACTGTCGTGAATCAGCTGTGCCTGGGTAAAAGGTAATTCCAGCAGGGACAGATCACAAGAAGCAGCTGAGAGCCCACCTCAGAGCAAGGGAAAGCCTGAGCAGCATGAGAAGAGAGTCATTAAACAAGAGAGAATAGCGATTAACAGAGTTAATAACCAGTAACCAGTGAGCATTCAGTCCTCGATTTCTGGAACACCACCGAGCAGCCAGGTTTGTACAGGTCTGAAATAAACAATGGATGTCTCTCTCCAGTGTACAGGTATTGGCTCGTGGCCACCGGCAGTACGGCACGAGAGCACACCCGGAGCGCTTCCCTGGCGCCGGTTTTATTAAAAAAAAAAAAAAAAAAAAAAAAAAAAAAAAAAAAGGGGGTGGGGGTCCGCCTTCCGCGGAACGAACACGGGTACCCAAAGGGAATCTCTGCCAAAGGAGAGGCTCCGCAGCCCGCAGAACCCGTAGAACCCGTGTTCTGTACCCGGTACCCAAACTGGAGCCCGCAGAACCCGTGTTCTGTACCCGGTACCCAAACTGGAGGCCGCAGAACCCGTGTTCTGTACCCGTACCCACAGGGAATCTCCGCCCAAGCAGAGGCTCCCGGGCCCGCGGAACACGGAGCCGGGCGGGCGCCGCCATGGCGGGCGCTGGGGCCTGCCGGGGGCTTTCCGTTCAGCTGTGCCCGCCTGCCTGCCGGTGGGATTGTTAACGGGCAGGGGAAGAGCGGCAGCAGAGGCTCCGCTGCAGCGGCAGCAAAGGCTGCAGCGAGCGGCCGCCGCCGCCTCCCGCTCTTCCGCGCCGCGGTGTCCCCGCCGCTCCCGCGCCCGCTGCGCTTTCTGCTCAGGCAGCGCGCCGGGCGCCCGCGGCGGCCGTGAGGGCGGGCGATGGCGGCGGCGGCCGGGCGGGCCTGGGCCCGGGGCGCGCTGAGGGCGGCCTGGAGAGGTGACGGGACAGCGGGAACGGGCACCGCCGGGGGAGGGCACGGGACAGCGGGAACGGGCACCGCCGGGGGAGGACACGGGACAGCGGGAACGGGCACCNCACGGGACAGCGGGAACGGGCACCGCCGGGGGAGGACACGGGACAGCGGGAACGGGCACCGCCGGGGGAGGACACGGGACACCCGCACGGCAGGCGGGGGTTCCCCGCAGGGCGAGGGGAGCGCGCTCAGGGGCACAGGCACCCGGACATCATCCATGGGGACACACGGACATCCATGGGGACACCCGGACATCATCCATGGGGACACACGGACATCATCCATGGGGACACACGGACATCATCCATGGGGACACACGGACATCCATGGGGACACACGGACATCATCCATGGGGACACAGGGACATCCATGGGCACACACAGACATCATCCGTGGGGACACACGGACGTCATCCATGGGGACACACAGACATCATCCATGGGCACACACGGACATCATCCGTGGGGACACACGGACATCATCCATGGGCATACACGGACATCATCCGTGGGGACACACGGACATCCGTGGGGACACACAGACATCATCCATGGGCACACACGGCCATCCATGGGCACACACAGACATCATCCATGGGGACACACGGACATCATCCATGGGGACACAGGGACATCCATGGGCACACACAGACATCATCCGTGGGGACACACGGACATCCATGGGGACACACGGACATCCATGGGGACACACGGACATCATCCATGGGGACACACGGACATCATCCATGGGGACACACGGACATCATCCATGGGCACACACGGACATCATCCATGGGGACACACGGACATCATCCATGGGCATACACGGACATCATCCATGGGGACACACGGACGTCATCCATGGGGACACACGGACGTCATCCATGGGGACACACGGACATCCATGGGCACACACGGACATCATCCATGGGCACACACGGACATCATCCATGGGGACACACGGACGTCATCCATGGGGACACACGGACGTCATCCATGGGCACACACGGACATCATCCATGGGCACACACGGACATCCATGGGGACACACGGACGTCATCCATGGGCACACACGGACATCCATGGGGACACACGGACATCATCCATGGGGACACACGGACATCCATGGAGACACACAGACATCCATGGGGACACACAGACATCATCCATGGGGACACACGGACATCCATGGAGACACACAGACATCCATGGAGACACACAGACATCCATGGGCACACAGGGACATCGTCCATGGGCACACAGGGACATCGTCCATGGGCACACACGGACATCATCCGTGGGGACACACGGACATCCATGGGCACACACGGACATCCATGGTGACACCCTAGCATCCATGGGGACATGGATCCTCTTTAGTCGCTTTTCAAAACTCAAATGTATTTTTTAAAGTGTAATTAGGAGGAAGGGAAAACATCTTTTATCTTCTACAGTCCTCTAAAAACCTTCTTGCTTTTCTTTTCTTTAGCAAAATCGAAGCAGCTGATGAATTTCAGGTCTCTTTCCACCCTCAGGGCAATCTGTACTGAAGTGGTGCCAAACTGTGATGAGAGCCTGAACATTAAGCAGGGCTTGAAAACAGGCTGGTGGGTTTTCCTTAGAGGAGGGAAACATTTCCACAGCCTAGTCACAAGAATATCCTTAAAAAAACCCGACCATTTCTTGCAGGTAAACCAGGAAAAAGAAAGGCTGCAACTACTTAATAATTCATTAAAATCATTCTATCAGCAAGATGGACTGCCCTCTTTGTGACATTTTCTGTTGCAGTGTTTTCCCTCCCACCTTCTGCTTTGCACTTCAAGACAAAAGGTTCAAGTCTGATTCCCTTTGAAAATCACTGGCTTCTCTGCCCATGCCTGTATTTGCAGCAGATGCAGTTTTTAAAGGAAGGAGATGTGCTGTCTCTAAACACCTGTCTGTCTTTGTTCCAGGCTTTGCTTCTGTGCCAGTGAAAGGGAGCTGCAGTCCCTACTCCAGCCTGGCATGGGCTTTCCAGACACGGTGCTCCCTCACTGCCCCCTGGGCTGGGACAGTGGAGCAGTGCAGGAAAAGCAGTTTCTTCAATACCTGTAAGTCCTGAGCTGGGTGAAAATTGTTAACAAACAGGAGAGGGGAAGAAAACACTGCTCTGGAGAGACACAGTCGTGAAAATCTGTGTATACTGACTTTTTTGTGTCTCCTGGGATTACAGTGGCAGCTGCAGGTGTTGACAGAAGTGCGTGCACAAAATCAATTTATCATCTTTTAATAGCAAACAAGGGTTTGCTTTGTGTCACAGTGAATCCCTCTAATGTGTGTCACTGGATGGGAGGAGGAAGCAGCTTCCCCTCTGTTTCCTAGGCTTTTATTGAGAGTGTAAATTGTGTGTTTATCTTCTAAATTATTTTTTGAGCCACAGGCAAGGCCTGCTGTTCAAAATTGGAATTGCTGCAATGCAAGGCACAAAAACTGTTGGTAGCCCCCTGCAGACTGTCTGCTCTGGTGCAGTGTTTTCCTCCAGCCCTGAAAGGAATTTCACCCGTGCTTAGCATAGCTGAGGAATGGTGGCTGTTTCAATTGACACTCAGGACTGTGAACTGAGACAGCTGGGGGGCTTTTTCACCTGCTCTGTGCTTCCTTTTCCTGTCCCATAGCAGAAGAGAGGAAATGGTAAGGACACAGTCTCTGGCAGAGATAACTGCAGCAGTCAGAGGGTCAGAATGGGATTGTTTCTAACCCATAGAATTTAGGAGCTCTGCAGAATCAGCCTCTCAGAACTGGTGGTCTCTTCCTTCTCAACATCTGGGCGAAGAATGCTGCATTCTTTTTCTTTACATCTGCTCAAGAAAAGGGGTTAAACAGTCAGGCTGGGCTTGCTGCTGGTTTTATCCAGTAAATTTTGACCCTTGACTGTAATTGAGGGTGGAGGGGTCTCCAAAGGCTTGGAAAGGCTGCAGTGTGAGCTGCAGGCTGTGCATGGAAAAGGCTTTCTAAGGATGCCACCTGCAGGGAGAAATCGTTTGGACAAGCAGCAGCAAGATGAGAATGTGTAAGAAGCCACCCTCTGTTGTTATTTTGTTTATCTTAAATTAAACCACAAGTGATTGCAGTGTGATTAGGATTTGTATGTTAGATATTTCCTTAATTAGCCTTGTATTCATATTCACAAGCTCTAGATGAGCTCTGTTTTGCCAGGAGCTTTTCCAGACGTCTGGTTAAATGTCTGAATTAGAAATATTTGCTGAAACAAAACATCCATGTTGTTTAGTAAAATTTTATTTATTTAGGCAAACTACCTGAAACTATTGGCTTATTTAATAAGATGTAACAACCTGGAAAAATGGAAGTGTACCTCCTTTATACATTAAGCAGAGGCAGTAGCCGTGAGATTCAGAAGACTCAGGGTTTTGTGTATCAAAGTACAATTATTCTAAGAACACTCACAGAAGTAAAAAGCAAAACCCTCACAATTCAAATGAAGTGGATACAAACAGTATAAATCACTCAATTCCTTAGCAGTGCAGTTGCTTCCGGATTGGCAATATTTAAAATGCAGATATGACCATTTTATGTGAAGTAGCTGTCAAGTGAAATGTCAGCCAAATGACAGAGCTTTGTGCCTGAGAAGGGTGACTGGATTTTTCTCTCTCTAGTGAATGCTTAATATTCTTTCATCAGTCCTTGGGTAATATTACTGTGCTCTTGCTAGTAGAGTCATCCATATCTTCAACAGAACTATTCTTTTTTATAGTTTGTCTGGTTTGAATAGAAGGAATTCATTTAAATAGGAAAAATTGCAATTATCTGAGGCATTTGTCTCTGATCTTTACCCAGGTACTTCTGTCCTGCAACACTGACACAAAAACATACACAAGGATTTATTCCCATCCTGTGACATGTTTCAGTGAGTTTTTAATGAAATGATGGAAATTATCTTCATATTGCAGGCTTATTTTTTGCCCTTTCCACCCTCCTGACCATGGGAAGCAATTCAGTTTTCATTTACTGCTTTGGCTGTCTCCCAGCCTGAGGAATTATCTCTGACCCCAGGCATCCAAACCAGCGTGATTTTCTCATCATCTGTTGTGTATCCAAATGCATGTGAGATGAGGAGCTTTTATTTGTTACTGGGAATGTATAAAAATCACACAGTCCTGCTCACAGGTAATCCCATTAGCTGCCCTTGGGAGCCAGCCATGGGATCATAGAGTGGTTTGGGTAGGAAGGGTCTTAAAGAGCATCTTGTTCCAAAGCCACTTCTGTGGCTGGAGAGCCTTGCACTGCTCCTTGAGCCTGCTCCTTAAGTACATTTTGTACCATGTTTTTGTAGTCTTATGTGAGTTTTCTTTGGGCTAAATTGTTCATTTTGACAGCCATGTCTAACTCCATGATCAGAATTTAAAAATGCTTACTTTTTCAATTTACAAAGAATTTTCCTTGAAGTATGAGCATTCCAGATAAATAATTACAGAGCTGCCTCTTGTCATTATCAGTGGCATCATAAGAAGAGTTCTGATGTTTCAGCATTAAGGATGTAAAGAGTTACATCTGTACAACAGCTTTTTACATTTTTTTTTTCCTTTTACAAGAGAGTTGTCTGTATGTTGAAAAATAGTTGGTTAATTGCTTTTAGTCAAAAGAAAGGGGACTAAATGCCTTATAGTTAATTGTACCTGGAGAGGTATTCTGTTGGGTTTTGATTTGATTGGGGTTTTTTTACAGTATTTATTTAGATCATTTTATGATATTACTTTTCAAAGGCATTTAGCCTCCAATTTTCATTTTGTTTTGAGGAACTGAACCAAGCCAAGGGTGTTTAGTTTGCAGAAACCTCACTGAAATTTCTCTTCTCCATTTATCCATCTGGTGACACTGTGGCGTGATAGTTACTAAAAATAAAAAATGAAAGCTTTACTAATCAAAGCTACCTTCAAAAGATAGTAGTATTTACAACCACACATACTAGCTATATTTAAGGTCCTTGGTTTTTCATAAAATGTTATAAAGAAAAAAAGTACAATTTCTCAGATGCTGGATTTGTAGCTGGATTTATTCAGGGTCTGAATTGAGACTGACAATCAACCTGACAGTCAGGTCCCATGTCTGCAACTTGTGCTGACATTGTGACAAATTGCCAGTTTTAGAAAATGTGAAATTCTAATCTGAGTGCACTGCGGAAGGGTGCTCAAGGTTTGCAGTAAAGTGGAGTTATTCCCTGTGTCAGTGCAGCAGTGTGAGTGCATCTTTTGGAATATTTTCCAGGTTTTGTTGTACTATCAGGATGCAAGTTTTCTTCTGGATTTTGGGGAAAATGCCCAAAACTTTCCCATTCTATCTTGGGGGAGAAAATAATTAGTCTATAGATGTCTTTTTCGCCAAAAAATTTGCAGACCCACCTCAACAAAATTTTTATGCAACCCACACAATTGGAGCTTTTGCATTTTTTAACAATGTTATTTAATTACTATGAATTAATAGGTAGCCCAAGAGCGTCAGACTTGTATTAACAAAATCAAACAGAACGTTTGGTAGTAGATGAGGGTTTTTTTTGTTTTGCTCTTGTGGAAATCAATCTAGCAGTGAGAAGTAGAACTGAGCTTAAGTTTTCAGTGGAAACATACCAGGTATGTGTCCTTGTTATTTTTTAACTTCTTCTGTGAGCTTTTATCTAAAACCATTTCTCTGTCTGTCCCGTGGTGGTGGTCTCCTGGATGGCCTCACGTTGTTTTTTGTGGTGAGACATTTGCAGTGCCCAGATTTGGCAGCTGTGCAGTTGGATGCCCCCAGTTCATGCTGTATGCCTCAGCAGTGGCTGTCCAGGCTGAACAGTCTTCAGGCTTCCCAGGTTTTGTAAAGGCCCTGAGGGCTCCCAGACAATACCCTCAGGAGATGACATCTGCAGAGGGAGAGGCAGAATTGCAAAGAGGAGCATGCATTTTGCTTTAGCAGCCCTGATTTTTAATGGCCCCACTGGGGAGGGGGAGATTTTTGTCTTCTCATTATCTTCAGTATCAGATGTGCATCATATGCTGCCATTTTTAAAGGCTGGGAGGTCTCTTTTGAAAAAGGGTCTCTTTCTTTGAAGAAAACTATGTTTTGAGTGTGGTGACTTAGTGACTTGAGAATAATCTGGCACTATATGTAATTTTTTATAGATCTTGTGGATCCATGCTGTTCTGCTCATGGGCCAGGGTTAGACAGGAAATCAAGGAACTGATGTCATATGGAGGCAGATAGTTGGATTTCAGAGGTCAAGTGGCAAGAGCAGTTCTCATTTGGGATGAACACACTGATGTTGATGAGTCTGCTGTAGAATCTCACTTGTTAGAAGTAATCCCTCTGGTGTTAGTATGCCATTGTTCCATTTTTCTCTCATTAATAAATCTCTTTGTATTATCATCTGCAGAATATTCCCTTTTGAATTGTAGAGGAGAGGATTCAACCTAGAGGAGTTAAATATTTTCCATAAGTAACTTTACAAAGCCTGAGTAGGTCTTGGAATGAAAGATTTCCACGTTTAAAGCTAGGAGGAAAATATATTAGAAACATAACTTCTGAGGGATAGCAGATGGTATGAACTGAGTTGACAGGTTTTGAACAGTGTATGAGTTCAGCTGAAGATGATTAAGGTGTAAGAAGCCAAACTCCATCTTTGTTTTGGATGGTTCACTGCTGTTGTTTTGGAAGTAGGTTTTAATGTTATTGTGAGAATGACTCCAGCCACTCATAAGAATTGAGCTTGACGTTGAATGTTAATACATGCAATTGGAAATGACATCTGAATTATTTGAGTCATGTTCAGCCACTGCAATGAGTTGCAGGTTTTGCTCTTAAGACAGCTGCTCTGGGTATGCTTTTTCCTAGCACCTTTACCCTAAATGCTTTGTAGTTAAGGATAGTGTTGTAAGATGATGGAGAGAGAATATGGCATCATGTTTAGATTTTTGGAGCACTCCTTTTGCCTAACCTAAGGTACTTAAATTGCAGTTCTTTACCAAATCCTGGTTAGAGTGGTTGATGTAGCTGGTTCATATTTCATGTGCACGAAACATTTTTTTCTAAATCTTGTTTTTGTTTGGAGATGGTGGCATTGGTATCTGGAGAAGGGAGGGGGTTGAAATATCATATTTTGTAAGATTTAATCTGTTAATAAAAGTGTGTCCTCCAGGCTGAGACTTGGAAGAGAATGTAAGTGATTGAAAAGACCTTACTGAGTTCCATTGGTGATACAGCTGCACAAATGTAATGGTGTTAATGGACAACAGTGCTCTGAGGAACTGTTTATTATAAGTTCTTTAGTCTTTTTATTATGTCAATATTAATGTCTTTGTATCTCTGCTGCTGTGCTGCCACAGGCTATTTGTCACCAAAATCCTTGGGGAAAGATTACTTGTATTGGAAAGAAGTGAGCCTACTTAGCTGTTCTACAAAATTGATTCTCTCTTCTCCTTTTACTCCCTTCATTTTTCCAGCTTACTGCTCTTTGTCTCTCTTTGTATGCTCAGCAAGCTGTGAACTCATCTTGCAGGAGACAAAGAATTCTGATTTTAATCTCAGTTAATGAGTATCTAGGATACTGGTTTCTGATGGGGCTTACAGCAAGTCTTTTAATGCTTTTGGTTTACTGAGGTGTGGCCAAATATTAATCTGATAATTACCTGTCTCATTCCCGGTATTCAGGGATAATATAAAGACACAAACCCAAATACTTTCCAGAATATTACAAATACCTTTTGTGTAGATTAAGCTACATGGAATGATGTCATACAGACTTACTGTTGTTAGTGATCAGCTTGCATAAAGCATGCTTTCAGATCAGTTCAGTAGTGGATCTTTTTCTAGTCTATAAAATCAAATCTTAGAGATGACACTTTTCCCCCCCACTCAGTAGCTCTGTGCTTTTGGGTAACTGACTAAAAATGTGCAGTGGCTTTTACGACTGCTTCTATTTTAGCTCTTGAGGAATGCATGCAGCACCCTATTTTACAGAGGTAAAATAAAATAAGCCCATCAATCTCAAAGACACTGCATCTCTGCTGTAGTGTCTTCATTCCTGAACATCTCCACAAGTGTGAAAGCAGTGCAGAAAGTCCTTTGTCTGGAGTTACTTCCTCCAAATCAAGACATTGCTCCTGCCTCTGTGTGTGCTTGTAATCACTTTGGTGCTTTGCTGCCAAGTCAGATTGACCTTTCTTACACACAGATTTTTATTTTCTCCAGTGGTGTGTTGGCTGTCTGTCATAAGCAGTGTCCCCACCATTGTAATCTTCCTGATGACAGCCTCTCCCTTTCACATCCCATTCTTGTCACTTTGTCTTAAAATCAGCGTGATACCTCCATCCTATAAAGAACGCAGCCCTGCAGCCTGCAGGCTTCTGATGAGTTTCATTAAATGCAGCTGCTTTCCAAACACATGATGGTGTTATTACAGACTGATGAGATGAACTGCACTTTGGGACCAAATGTGATGTTTTCATCTGGTTCTAATTTTGTCAGAATTTGTGTACTGCTCGAGGCCAAAGCTTGACTCAGCCTGACCTGTTCTTCATGGATGTGTTGGCATTGAATGTTCTCCTCTGGTGCAAGGCAATGTCCTTACTCTGTGACCTTTGCTACTTCCCTCTATTGGAATTAAAGTGATCTGATTGTATGTATATTTGGAGTGTAGCTCAAAGGGCAGGATTTTTTTTTGGCATGTTACCAGCTCCAGAGCTGCTCTTTTCTCTTAACTGCTTGTGCTGCCCCTCTGCAGCCTCCTTGGTAGCTGTTTGACCCTCTGTGGTGTCACCCAAACTGCAGATTGAGGGACTGTTCCAGCTTAAAAATAGCCTTGCAAAGAAAAATCTAAGTGCCTTTATTGTGATTCCATGTTTCCAGGCTAGAAAGTTTATAATTTTTTAAAAATAATTGCTAGTTACACAGTGTTTTCTGAATCAGCTAAGAAGGATTTATTAACAGGATTGATGACCAGCCTTCCACCTAATGGAACAGCCCCATAATTCACTTAGCATGAATTTACTGAAAAACACATTACCTACTTAGTTTGCTTTTTTCCCCCCTAAAAAAAATTTGCAGCAAAGAGGTAATGTGTTTTTATGTAAGTTTTTGTTGGTTTTGGTGGCGTTTTTTGTTGCTATTTTCCCCCCACACCTTAGGTCACAGCTACATGCAGTGGTGTGTTGTAATCAGCTGTAAGGTAGACACTGGTTTTAAACCATTTGATACTGCTGCTGTTTGTGGGATTTCTTTTTTTAACTTCCAAACCTCTGAACATTGGGGTTCACTTGAATGTCTAGAAAAGAGCATATAATTTCAGACAAAAAATTCTCTTTTGCAGGGGACCAAAGCCTACCCCAGAGCAAATTCAGTTCTTGCCTCACAGCATATAAGAAGTGGGATAAACTTTGCTGTTATCCATGGGCATTTGTGCTGGTCTGTAATACACAGATTTCTGCTTGTCTGCAGTAGAGTCAAAATCCCTGTTACAAGTTTTACCTTGTTGAGCTGTTCATACACCAATTTTTGGGTATGTAATGACTTTGGAGGCCACTCTGCTCTTGGCTGATTGGAGGTAATATTATTTTGTAGCTCCCTGGACTTGCAGAGTTCTGTGTCCTTCCTTGTGTACTTGCTTTCCATTGTACTGAGCTTTGATTGCTGGATTCAGGATTCTCAGAAAGGAATCAGTTGTGCTTCCTACTTGGAAAAAGATACTTGAGTGAATAAGTGTGTCAAACTCTTGGAAGAACCACCTTGACAACTTAAACAAACTTAGTACAAAAATAAACCTGGGCACTTAGTGGCACCTCTGGGCATCCTGGATTGTTTTTGTTCCTCACTGTGTTGTCAGCCTGGCAGAGCTTGCCCAGTTCCAAAGCATTTTCCAGTCTGTGGGGCAGGATCTCTCATTATTCTGAAAATAATTAATTGCTGGTGCAAAGTGGCAGTGAATTTATGGTTATTTTATTTCCCCTGGTTAAAAGTTTTTACTGACACATTTTTATCTACTTTAAATAAACAAAATCAGTTTGTAATCAGAGAAGACAAGATTTACACTGCCATAGTAACACTACCCCTGGGTGAAGCACATAATAGCAGTGATCTGCAAGCAGGACCTTGGTCTCACTTCTGCACTCTGGCTGGAGGGATGGGCAGGGCAGAACCTCCTGAGCTCAGCAAGGACAAGTGCAGGGTCCTGCAGCTGGGCAGAGCAGCCCCAGGCAGCAGCACGGGCTGGCTGAGCTGTGGGCAGCAGCTCTGCACAGGAGGCCCTGGGTGCTGCTGGACACCCAGCTGTCCATGGGCCAGCCCTGCCCTGGGGACAAGGAGGCCACGGGGAGCCTGGGCTGCCTCAGGAGCTGCACTGCCAGCAGGGCAGGGAGGGGATCCTGCCCCTCTGCTCAGCCCTGCTGGGGCCACTCTGCAGTGCTGTGTCCACTGCTGGGATCCTCAGCACAGGAGAGACCTGGAGCTCCTGCAGAGGGCCCAGCACAGGGGAGCAGGACGATGAAGGGGCTGGAGCAGCTCCGTTCTAGGAGAGGCTGGGGGAGCTGGGCCTGTTCCCCTGGAGCAGAGACACCCAGAGGAACCTGATCCATGGCTGCCAGTGTCTGCAGGGAGGGGCCAGAGCAGGGCCAGGCTCTGCTGGGCACCGGGCAGTGGCACAGGAGGCAGCGGGCAGGAGCTGAGGCTCAGCAAGTTCCACCTGAACGTGGGGAAGAACTTCCCTGTGCAGTGCCCCAGCAGGGCACAGATTGCCCACAGAGGCTGTGGAGTGTCCCTCCTGGGGACAGTCAGGAGCCATCTGGACACCATCCTGTGCCTGTGCTCTGGGGTGGGAGGCTGGAGCAGGTGACCCACGGTGGCTCTTTCCAGCCTGAGACATCCTCTGTGATTCTGTGAAATATTATCTATGGTGTCTTCACATAATCAGTTTCTTTTTGGTATAGTTTTTTCTTTTGTTGAGTCTTTTGGGGTTTTTTTTTGTCTAAGCTGCCGTGGTGTCCTGTATTGCCATCAACTGGGTGAGCAGGAGTTTACAGCTAACTCCTGAATATGTTTCCTAAGTCTTGCTCTCCTGTGCTGGGTGGAGCTCCAAGGCAGTGCCTGGTCCTGGCCACAGCCACTGCCTGAGGAGGCCTGACAGAGCCAGAGCTCTGTGGTGATGCTCTTAAAGTGTTCTGCATTCCTTCCTCCTTGTATTCCTTTCCACTTACACAGGCAATAAGGGGAACGTTGTATTTTCAGAACTTGAGAATAGCAGCAGGTTTATGTTTTGCTTAATTTTTTGTGTTTTGTGGCTTTTAAAGCAGGCTGGCCCTTGGATATTTTTAGGGGTGATTCAAGCTGACTGTCACTGATTGATGATATGTACTGCAAGGTATTGCTGCTCTGAGTTACTAATTAATGATTTTCTTTTCATGACCTGGAAATGCATACCATACTGGTTACTTGTCAGGAATATTTGTCTTTAAATCAATTTTGAAAAACCTTGTAGAAAACATGCCCTTGGCTGTGTGCCTCTCTCAGTGCAGTAATCAGGGGTAGAGGCTCATCTTTGCACCAAATACATATGCACAGAGTAGGAAATTACTTTCTTGGCAAGGCAGTAATGCTACAGTTTAAATTCCAGCAAAGCAAAGATCAAGCAGGTTTCACGTTTGGGGTTATTTTTTGTTCAGCTTCAGTTTCCAGTGTAAGCTGTACTTGAGTGTAACTTAAGGATTTTTTTTTTTTTTTTTTTAATTTCAGTGACAGCTGATCAGCTATGGAAAGGAGCTTTGGCAGAGACTGGCGTAGGAGTAAGGAAAGGAAGAGGAAAGAAAAAGAAGAAGAAGCTAAGGAAGAATCTCAATAGAGGCCAGGAGATTGGTGAAGGTAGATTCACAAATACAAAGCTGAAGACATCTTGATATTTTTGTGTACAGTGTTTCTTGATTTCATATGTGGACAAATTTATTTTCCTTTCTGTGATGCCAGAACCGTTTTGTCTTTAAAAAAAAAAAAAAAATTATTATTATTTAATGTTGGTTTTGCTTTTCCAGTTACAAATTCTGCATCATAGAACACATTTGAAATATGTGAGAGTTTTCCATTTCATTGCATTTTCCTGAGTCCAGAGTTGCAATTCTAATCTGGAGCAAAGCATATTTTTTCTCTGTTATTTCTAAGGACGTTCTGGTTTCCTCTGGCCTGGTCTTAATGCTCCTGTGTTGCAAACTGGGAGAGTGCAAGAAGTTGCCCAGCGAAAAAAAGAAGAACGAGAGAGAATTCAGTCTGAAATCATTCAGCAGAGAGATACATTTGAGAAGAAAAAAAAAATAAAAATTAAGAGAGAGGGAGGATGGAGTGGAAAGTGTTGGGGAGGTGTCATTCTGGATCCTCCTGACCCTGGGCCGAATGGAGGTAAGAAAACCAGTTCTCTTCTTCCTCTCCCTTTCTGAGGGGGTACTTGCAGAAAGTGAGATCCAGACTTTTTCTGTGATTGAAAATTGGTTTTGTACTTTATTCCAGGCCCACACACAAGCAAGCTAAATCAAAGAGCAGGTACTGCTCACACCAGTGAAATCTATTAAAACACTGCTTTATTTCCTGCAGCTGTTAGCCTGTTCTGTTCCATTTACAGACTGAATAATTTTGTGTGGTTTTACAGAGTACTGTGCCATGTCACAGACTGCTACAGGAGTCCTGAAGGATGGAAATGTTCTGTTTCCAGCATCAATTGTCTTGAGTATGATGTGTAGTCATGTTTTTCAATAGTTTCTTAAAGGATCCTGTGGGATAAATCAATCTTTCTGAAATTCTAGTTCAAATAATGAAATAGGGTTAAAGATTATGTAGTTTGAATGTAGCTTTTAGAAGAAGCTGCAATAAATAACTATCATATTAACTATAAAAGTTTTTTTTTTATTTCCTAAGTAATTCAATATAGTGAAGCTAGAGCTTTTACTTGTACAGCAGAGAGGTGACTTTTATACAGTGCTGTTATTCAGACTACTAGAGATTCTGTAGTAGCTTTACATTTAGAAGCCTAATCTTTTTCAACTAATTAAACATGAAAAAGTCTGGTAAGCTCCTGTTGGGCTGAGTTTTTATTGTGAAACTCTGCTTATTGACATCTTTCTGTACACTTTTATAGTAAGAGGAGCTAAGAAAGACAGGTGGTATTTTCTAGCACTGTTTGCATTTCATTTTGTTACCCTAAGAGCAAATATTCCGTGGAAGGCAGTGATGGGACAATGGACTTGACCAACTGTCACTGAACCTGTCAGTGTAAAAATAGGAGATCTGAGACATTAATTGTTCCAAATTCCCCATAAGTCAGTGGTGGAACATGGAGCAAGTCAAGGAAGTGCCATGGTTCTAGTTCCATACTCTGAACACAAAACTCTGTTGAGTTTATCCCACCAGAAGAAGTGCCAGCTGTTGTAAACAGTGTTTATGCATTTGTGAACTTAACCTTCTGGTGTTTTCCTTGCTTTTGCTTTTGGCTGGTACGACTGATGTAGATTACTTGCATTAAAGTTGGCGGTGTGGAGCCTGCTCTAGTCAGATCACGTTCTGCCAAAAAGAGGAAAGGGCACTGCAATCAAAACAGGAGAATGAAGCTGTCACCCTGTATTATAAATGTGTTTGAGAAAAAGCAGTTTCTGATAAGCATGCACTGATTTCCTTTTAGTCCGCTAAAAATGTCAGGGGTCTTCAGGCCCCCCCAGTTCTTTCAGTTCCTTTCTTTTTATTCAGAGGATTAATGGTTTTGCAGGGGAACTGGGACATTACCTGTATGCAAAGCAATGTCAAGGTGTTGGGAAGAGCAGACCTGAAGCTGCCAAACCCAATGAATCCTTTTGGCCTGAGACTGTGGCATGACAGGATTCCTTGGTGTCACTTACTGTGCTGGCTAGGAGTAGAGAAAGAACAGTGTTTTCCACTTTGAAATCAAATTGCTTTTCTCCCAAGTTTGTTCCTTTAGCAACTGAAGAGCTTCAGAGGGAGCAGAGTACAGATTCATATCCTTACTGTGAGCCAGAAATCTGCTTTGTGCAGACTGACAGGTCTCTAAACTGTGCCAAGATGATCATGTTTATAAACATCTTGGAGGTTTTGTGTAAATAATAAACGATGCTTGGTCAAGGACTGAGGCCCCAGTTCTACACCGTTGCAGGCTTTTAAACTTTCCTCCAAAATCTCACTGTAGCTACGCCAAGTAAAGGTTTTCTGTGTTATACTGAAATGCTCTTGTTTATGGCGTAAGTTGGAAAAGCAAGAGGTTGTGAGGACTATGGTTATTTGAAGTGGTCAAGTATTGTTTTGTTTCATGCTCCCCCTCCACTTTCTGGAATTTCACAAAAGTGTGAATAAAGAAGTACTTGCATTTCCATAGAATCAAAGACTAGGTTGGTTTGGAAGAGACTTCTTACAGGTCATCCAGTCCAAACCCCACATCTCTTTGAATCCCTGTTAATTGTATGGTAAAAGCTTTAGAATATTCTGAAAAATATTAGATAATACTTTAGTCATAATGGAAGTGACCCATCTGGTGATTTTAATGACTTACTTCTTTTGCTCTGTATATATGAAATTTGAGGTTTATTTGCAGTTTTAGAGCAGTATTTAGGGGAGAAGGCAGTTTACATTGCTTGTTCAAATTATTGTTACCTTACCTTTTCTAATTCTTGCTGAGACTCCTTTATAAACTACATCTCCATGGAAGTTGTGTCCTCTTTAATTTGTACCACCTACAGGGGGGTGTGCTGGCAGACAAGTAACACAAGGAAATGTGCTTTTCTCTCCTTGTTTTTCTCCCTACAGAAACTTATGAAGATTTTGAAACAAGAGTCATCGAGGTAAGCATTGCAAATCTTTCCAGGGACTTTGAAGAATTATCACTACTTTATATTGACCTTGCAATTATTTAACAAGTCTTTGCCAAGTCAGTGTTGTAGCAGTAGGACTTGGTCTGGTTCTCTTGTTTCAGCTGCACAGCCTATGAGAAAGTGAATTACCTTGTCTCTTCATTTGAAAGAGAAGGGCTAAGAGAAACATTTTCTTAACAAAATAGTCTGCTTGACCACGGCTCCTTGTCTGGAAGTTAAAAGAATGATCAGGCAAGTCAGAAGCTGAGCTACCTGACAGCTCTACTTCAGAAAAGCTTCTCTCCTGTCCTGATAAATGTGCAAATGGGTTTCCTTGTCCTTGATTATCTTTCTGCATTTTGCTGAGATCACCATCAGTTTCTACCAGTCTTTACTTGTGGCAGTGGGTTTTGGTATCTCCTGAGACATGGCAAACAATGATTCTGAATTGTAATCTCAGTCTGGGTAATTAAAAGTCATGAGTTGGTTTCTATTTTTTTTTTTTTAATCCTGCAAAGGGGAAAGATGTAAACTGTTTTAGATGTCTGCTGTGAAAAGGATAAAAAGCAATGGATATAACTAAAAAGCAAGCTAAATTTAGACATAAAGAATGACTTGTAAATGGGAATTTGAATACTGGAATGGGTTTGGAGTATAGGGAATGTCTGTCATTGGAGCTTTTTAAAAACAAGTTAGATAATCTGTTAGAAGGGATGGGGAGACAAAATCTGTGACCTGTTAACCCATTTTCATGTCTCAGTGGGTTTTTGGAGTGGACTGGACCACACTATGGGCTTTGACTGATACAGCAAAGACCATTTGGAGCACGTGGCCTTTAGCTGAGCCTGTGTTTGAGGGCCATTTGTGAAAACTGCACAGAAACTGTTCCTAAAAGAAGTGATTTTTGCTCCCAAGCCCTGCAGCTGGCAGTGCCTTCTGCTGCCTGAAGGGGCACAGAGCAGAGAATGTTGGGCTGCTGCTGTGCCATGTCACAGCTGGCTCTCACGTTGGGTGCCAGAGCAGGGGCTTTGCCCTTCTCTACTGGCAGAATTATTTACAAACAGCAAAGCTGAGTTGCTCTGCAGTGGTTCCGTGTGCTGTAGAAATTTGGCTCAATGCTTTATTATATTTGAGTAATAAAAAAGCTTTTAGAAGCAGGCTGGAGCTCTGCTGTTACATGAGATTGCCACAGATGTGAACTGAGAAAGTGGAATGCTTTTGCAGAAAAATAGCAGCAGCAAAAATTCTCTGTTCAAAAGCAGCAGCGAGCTCAAGGTAATTGAGTCTTACAATTTTCTGATAACAAGTATGAGTTTTGAAATAAATAGATCATTTTAGCATTCCTGGCTTAAATAGGTGAGAGACATGCTGCTATTTCTGGATGTGTTTTTCATTGTCTTTGCCTTCACACCAGTACATGAGATTAAAATAACATTTGCTGGGAAGTTGTGCTTCACAGCAAGAAACTCAGAGCCATTTTTAAAGGACTGCCTTTTGAACAAAGATATAATAGGGTCTTTCTGTTGTGATTGTGCTACTGAAAAGGCTGTGCTGTTTTCCTAAACAAAGAGAGAAATTGCTTATTAAAGTGTTTTCTTATAATGCAGAAACAGAAAAGCTGTGATTTGATTTCTCCTGGCTGAAAAATAGAGTATAGACAAGCTCAGATTCTCACATCAACTGGAAGTTGGGTTAACTGTTTCTTACTTTCTCTGCCCGCCTAAGGCAATATTTCCTGTTCTGCTCCTATTAGAGATAAGAACAATTTCTTTAAATAGAACTGATGGTAATGCTTAACTGGTGTTCTAACATCATGTAATCACAGTGGTAATTAAAATCTACAGGTGCAGCTGGCATGTGCCATTATTATTTTCACTGGAAGGCTTCATTTCATGTGTCATCAACCCTCAGATGAATTTTTCTTTTATTTTTCTCCAAAATGAACATGGTAACATAGCAAAAAAAAAAAAGTAATAGTAATTACCTTGTGCTGTAATAGTAATTGCCTTGTAGTGCAATTAAAATTAGAAAGTGAGACCTTGTGCTCTGTAGGGCTTGAAGGCACAGAGCATGAGGTTAGTGGCCCTTTGAGTCTCTCATTAAGGGGAGCTTTCTAAATGAGAAGATATAAATAAAGCCCTTTGCAAAAACAGACCTCAAAGGGGTTTTGTCCAACACTGAAATTGCCTCCTACCAGTTGTGCTTGGTGATCACTTGCTGGTTGGTTCATGCTTTTTTGTTTCCATTGCCTGTTTCTAGTGATGGCAGCTTGAAGAATTCTGTGCAAGCACAGCTCCATTTTAGTAGGGTCAGTGCAACCTTTCCAGTGTCAGAATAGATCTGCTTTTGAGCCAGATGGTGCAGGTATGGTGCTGTCATTTTTAAATAAACCAAACACTCAGAGATTTGTTGCACTGCAGAATGAAAAGTAGCATTAGGTGTTCTTGTCTCAGTCCATTTGGCTTCTTCTTGGCTCAGCTTGGTAGACTTGCTACTTGTGGCAAAGAGAATGTTCTTTAATGCACAGCCTAAACCCTTTTGTTTCTTTTTGTAAGCCATTGGAAATTCTTTTTGCAATGGGTGCAAAAAACAAAGGCTTGTAAAAAAGAAATGCTGCATGAATTACAGTGTCTGGGATCCAGTGTTGACAGCCTTGACTAAAAAATTATATGGTATGAAGGATACTCTTAGAGTAATAATTTACTTCTAATGAGATGTTGCCTCAGAAGTACTTTAGGAGTATTTGTAGGCTCTAGATTTTGTTTTTAGACTACAGGGAAGTCTTCTGTTCCCTAGATGATACCGACAGTGTCTTTAGACTGGCAGTGAAAATTTCAGACAGTTTTTAAGATAGCACCTGAAGCCACCTGTCACAGGAAAACATGAGTGGTCAGAACTGTGCACTGTTTCTGATACTCTTGGAGAACTCAAAAGATTTTGGCCTGCCCTAAAAGTAGAGTTTAGGAATGCTACCCTCAACTGGTTCTGTTTAATAAATACTTGATGATTTTTATCTCTTACCTGTCAGGCTGTATGGAAGAAATAACTGGCATTTGGAACACCCAGAAGCTTTTGAGTGACTTTTAATTGGGCATAATTATGGCTCATCCTTTGAAAAGGCAATGAAGCCATTTCAGCTGCAGAGTGACTTTGAGGATGCATTGTTGGGGGGTCAATCCAAAGGATCTGTGCTCAGCTGGGAGCTGTAGTATGAAGCCACACTGGGAGAGGAGAGAGAGGAAGAGGGCAAGGTTATGAGTGCTGCTTGTGTTTGTGTGAGTGCTGTTCATTTCTGCTTGTTGGCTTGCAGGGCTCAGTGGGGGATTGCAATGGGATAGCAGTCCCATCTTTCTGTGAGGGACCTGGGTGGGGAGAGCATCTCCTCCTCTGAGGGTGCAGGGTTAAGGACCATTTCAATGCAATCATTGCAGCTGGGAGAGGTTCTGCCAGTGTGTTCCCATCTGCACAGAATGCTGGTAGGGACATGGTGCAGCTAACATGGGGTTGGGATTTTTAACAAGTTGATTACTCAGTTCTTTTAGGTAACTGGATTCCCAAACCTTTTAGCTGTGCCCCTGACCCTGCCTAGGCTCATTGGGATGGAAGTGCTTTTCTTTCAGCACTGCACCTTGCTGTCATTTTATCTCATTTCCCCTTGTACCTTGGAGGAGTGCTGGGACCAGAGGCTCTTAGCCCATGAGGGAATCAGCCTTTGCAATCATTTCTCTGCATCACAGCAGCAAAACAAAGAGTGGCAGTGTCAGGAGTGTGGCCTAGAGGTGGCAGGTTCCTAGAAATCATGACTAGAATAGGATTTCTGGAAAGGAGGGAGTCCCAGGGGGAATCAAGTTGGCCAGTCATTCATTTGGCTCTTACAGAAACAAAACCTTGCAGGAAGTGTTGGATTCTGACCCCTTTTTTTAACCAAGTCCAACTGCTGGAAGCATAATAATGTTTAGCAGCCTGCCTTTGAGTGCAACTTAATTCCACATTGTCGTTTCTCCTCTTAATAAATGTCTGAGGTGGTTTCATTTTGGTTTTGATGTGCTTCTCTTCCCTCAGTTCTAGAAAGGAACCTGTGTTTGCAGTATTTCACCACTGGATGGTGGATGCAAGGAGTTAGTTGGAGGTACACTGTGATTTAGGTTGAGCATGTGCTGCATCTGCTTTCTAAGCTTAAAAATTGGCTTTCAGTCTAACTTGGGTGGCAGTCTGAGCATAGGGGTGGCTGTGCCTTGGTTTCAGTCACTTTTCAGAGGCTGTGCAGTTTGAAGAGTGGCACAGAAGCTCCTTGCATGTGTCTTTATTGCCACATTCTGGAAAGGGAGAGGAATAATCCACGAGGAGATTTCTACAAACATCACATCCTTTATTTTTGACATGCTGACTCTATTTTTGTACAGCTACCTGCTGAGATTGGCAAGAGAAGATAAAAGTGTGTGCAAAGCAAAAATAGTATTCTCTTGATGCTCCTGAGGAGATGACTCTGCTTTACTCTCTCTTCTTCCATTATTATTTTGCATTTTCTCTAAATAGCCCATTTACACAGGCACTTTCATCTTATGGGGTGTGGTTTTTAGCTTGTTCTTGTCACCAACGAGTTTGAAGAAAGAAAAATAGCTTGGAAGGCTGATATTTCTTCAAAGTGCTCTCTAGAATGTCTGGGCACCTTGAATTAAGCAGCATCTTTATTTTAATGAAAGCAAGGTGAAATTTTTGAAACCCTAACCATAATCTATACCTAGTGAAGGCACTGGAATTTTGGGTGTTGTTTGTTTTGGGTTTTTGGTTGTTTTTTTGTTTTGTTTTTGTGGGGTGTTTGTTTGTTTGTTTGGATTTCTTCTGGTGAATTTTAGTAAGAATGTTTAAACCATGACCAAGTATTTTCTAATAATCTACTTTCATATGCCTAACACTACTGCCAGAGTAGCTTACTGAAGAATTACATATAGGGAAAAGGATTTTTATATATGCTGTGTATTATCTTTTGATACTTTATATGTAATTCATGTATTACATACAGCATATAAACTGTATGTGTGCATTTAAATAAACATTTAATTCAATAGATAAACAAAACCAAGGGAACTAGAACAGATGGACAAAGGTTCTCAGATTGCTGTCCCAAAATTGGCTTCTCTCACCCGGTGTGCAAGAAGCCAATGCACACACAGTGGAGCTGTTTGATTCATTTGTAGTTCTGCTCCAGTAGGGGTGCTGTGGGTAAAGCCAGCACACTGAAAGCAGAAATGCAATCATATTGATACAGTTTGATTCTCTACAGTTCTGCATAATGAATCTGCATCACTGCTGGGCTAAGCTACTCCTTGCTTGGCTGTCTCTCACCTGGATTTGAGGGCACAGCACATTCTGAATTCCTGTTTGGTGTTAGGGGTCCCCACTCACAGGCTCGGCTTCAGAGCTGTGGTTTGCACATCAAAATGAGCCAAGTTCACCAAAGGACAAACTCTGAAGTATTTCTAAACCCCAGCAGACTGGAGCTGGTTTGGGCTGACATGGAACCAGTCTCTTCCCCTTATCTCATCATTTTAGTGACCTTTTGCCACATTCTGCATTTTCTAGCTCAGGTTGTCCTCCCTTTCCCCAGAACGTGCTCTCCCTCCCACTGCTCATCCCTCTCTTGTCCACTTTGGGATGTGTTAGACCACAGAAGGTGGGGGGCTGTAAAGCAGTGACTTGCTGATAGAATCCTGGAATATTCTGACTTGGAAGGGGCCCCTCAGGATCACTGAGTGCAATTCCTGGCCCTGCACAGAACAGCCCAAGGGTCACCCCAAGTGCCCCAGATTGTTGCCCAAACAGTTCCTGAGCTCTGCCAGGCTTTGTGCTGTGACCACTGCCCAGAGGAGCTGTTCCAGTGCCCAACCTCCCCCTGGGTGAAAAACCTTTTCCTGATCTCCAACCTAAACCTCCCCTGACACAGCTTCAGGCTATTTCCTTCTTCTTCCCCTCTCTGAAATGGAATCTCCTTTTCAGCAGCTGCCATCTCTGTAATCAGACTGCCTTCTGCAGCATGCAAGTAGATTTCAATCCTAAATTTTAATTTGTGTAAAGCAACAACAGACCTTGAGTAATTCCTGAGAGTGCTTCTAAAATAGGTTAAAATACGAGGGGGGCACTTAAATATTGGTGTCACTTTCTCAGTATTAATATTACTTTCCATTTTTTCCCATGTTGTTTGATCATGCTTGAAATCACACCTAAAGCTGGGAGCATTAGAGCATTATCTGTTGTGCAGCTGAGCACAACAGAGGGGTTGCTTCCATGAGGCAACTTTTTCTCTGAGTGTGGATTTTTAACAACCTTTATGTATTTAATGCCTTGAAGCCAGTGTCCCACTGCAGATGCTACCCATTGACAAAGGCAGTATAGATATTTTAAGTGTATACTACAGACCTCTGATAGCTTTTTTTTAAACTTGACTCTCTTTAAAAAAAAGAAGAAAGAAAAATTAACAAAGCCCAACCCATTTGGACTTGTGTAATAACAGGAAGTTCTGTGTTGTTTTTTTTTTCTTCAGGTGAGAAATGTGTTTTGTATGAAGGCAAAGGAAGGCAGGAAAAAATCAGTACGTGCCTTAGTGGCTGTTGGGAATGGCAAAGGGGCTGCAGGTATGTGCTGTGTGCATGCATTTATTCTGTGTACAGGGTGACATCTGATGATGGCATATTTTGTGGCAGCTTTAATAGGACAGCTGGATTCCTGGTCAGCCAGAGTTTGGCTGAACTTTGCTCGTGTGAAAGATTGAAGGCTGAATTTTGCATGCACTTGGGAGTGGAGGAAAATTTGTAAAGAGAGGAAGGTGTGGTTCTCTTGCAGAAAGATGTGCTACTCTGAAAAATCTCTTCCTGCCTCTTCTTTGGAAAGATTAATGTGTTTTCACTGTAATCCAGATGTCCTAAATGATGGATCTGAAGTTGTCCTAGGCTTTTTTCCTTCATTCCCTTCTTTGTGTGTAAACAGAGTGGATTGTCTCTTTTGTCTGAAGCAGTCACCACTGCTCAGTTGTTTGAAACAAAGTTTGGTCAAACACACAAAAACAGCTTAAGCCTTATTTTTTTTCCTTTGACAGCAAGCAGATGGCATCCAGATATTAGGTGTTCATAACTCCTAAACTGTTTGTGTGATTTCCTCTGAATCACTTGCTGAGTATGGTCTGTGCAGTGGAACGGAAATTTAAATGCTAAACGTGGCTGTGAAGTTCTTTGGTTTTTTCCACTTTTCTTTCTGAAGATCATCTGCATCATCTGTATCCCAGCAATAAAATGCCTCTTTCTGTCTTGCAGGTTTTGCCATAGGGAAGGCAGGTGACAGGACAAATGCTTTAAGGAAAGTACGTTGATTGAATTTTTTTTTACTTGATGACAATTACAATAATTCATACTTACAGGGTTTTCCCTAGTAATCAGTATAATCTGTAGTTTTTGCAGAGAAGTAAGTCCATGTGTTTGCTTTGTCTTGATTGAGATAATAATACATTTATTTGGGTTAGAAAAGCCCTTTAAGATCCAGCCCAGCTGTTGACCCAACACTGCCAAGTCCAGCAGCGGCCTCAGTGCCCTGTCTGCACATCTCTCAGACACCTCAGGGATGGTGGCTGAGCCACTTCACTGGCAGCCTGGTCCAGTGTTTGGCAACCCTTGCAGGGCAGGAATTTTTCCCATCTGAGCCTCCACTGGCGCAGCTTGAGGCAATTTCCCCTCATCCTACCCCTTGCTACCTGGGAAAAGAGACTGACCCCAGCTCATGTCATCTCCTTTCAGGAGCTATAGGGAGCAGTAAGGTCCTCCCTGAGCCTCCTCTTCTCCAGACTAAACATCTTCATTTCCACAGAGTTTAGATGTGGCAAATCTGTTTTCCTAAGTTGTTGTTTCCTAAGTTTTTCTCTTTTTTTTTCTGTCTCATTAACTGAATAATGGTAAATTGCAAATGCTTAGCAGAAGAATTTAAGGAAAAAATGTTTTCTGCTTTCATTCCCTAGGCAAAGAATAAAGCAATAAGCTCCTTGCACTTTATAGAGATGTATCAGAACCACACAAGTAAGTATTATTCTTTCAGTATAAGCAGTGAATATGCCAGCAAGAACTGGTTGCAACTACTTGCAAAGCATAAAAAATGTTGAATCAAGTTTTTCTGATCTGATGCATTGTATTATACAATTCTTGACAACCTGGTCTAGTTGAAGGTTCCCTGCTCATTGTGGAGTGGTTGGACCAGCTGACCTTTAAAAAGTCCCTTCCAACACAAACTATTCCATGGATCTGTGCTTAGAATTTGGGTACTTAATACATAGTATTTCAGGCTCTTAATAGCAAGATTAGATCTTTTCTGGCACAGTTTGAGTTAAGGGAGTCAGATACTGTCAGGGCATTTTTCTTCACTGTGTGAGTGAACTCCTGTGTTTTTCCCCTTTCTGTGTCACAGGAGATGATTCCCTGGGACTCAACCCATGTGTGCTGAGCCTGGGCTGGAGGCTCAGCCTGAGGTTTCCTGGTAGTTTTTTGTTTGTACTCTGTATGGAAAATCCAAGAATGTTGATGCCTATGGGGAAATCTTAGGTTAAAAACTAGATTATTAGAAAAGGTATGAGCAAATTGTGTCACATGAGCTCAGTTCAAAACTAAATGAGGCTCACTAGAGACACACTTATTTTTCAATTGTAACATAGTATTCACAGGTATTTCAGCATTCATAATCTATTCCAGAAATTTACCTTTAAAGAAGTCAGGGGAGAGTAAAACCAACTTAGAGTTCAGAAAAAGAAAGACACTAGCTAAAGCTCTTCTAGAAGTAAGAATTTATCTGTAATGCCTTTTTTTCCCCACTCCAGTTTACCATGACATTTCTGTGAAATTTAAAAGGACAAAAATCCGCATGAAGAAACAAAACAAAGGTAATTAAAGAAGTTTACATCTTGAATTTTTCACAGTTACTGACTGGTATTTATATGATGAACTTAAACTTATCTAGTCTACCATGTTTTAAATGTTGAAAATCATCAGCCATTTCTCTTTAGAAATACCTACTTTTGCTGACATAGTTTTGCTCTTTCCCAATCAAATTGGGATTTGTCCACTTTACATTGGTGGGAGCTCTCTCACTCTTCCTCAGTGTAATTCCTTCAGTTCTCGATTACCTGGCTGTGGAGCCTGGTCCTGCTCCAGCCACTGGTGGGTTTGCACAGAGCTATAAATTCTCACACCCCTCCCACTCTGGGTCTCCCTTTCTTCACAGCCTTGGTGGTTGTGAAGTCAGTTTGATCTTCCTGGAAGTGGCACCTGAAGTTTCCTGAGAGCTCATCAGTTAGGGGAGTGTTTTTTTTCTTTTCCTTGTCTCTTTGGGGTTCTTTCAGATCTGTGTCTCTGTATATTTTGTTTCTGGTTTCCCCTTTCTCCCTCCATTTCCTAGCTGACAAGTCTCCAATTGGATAACCTCACTAGAATAAACATTCTAGCCCTTTTCTGCAGCTTTCCAGCCTTTTGGTCCCCAGGATGTATCTCTTTTTTGTGTCCTTTACTCAGGACACAAGGCTTTCCTGTAGTTTTTAAAGATCACTGGAGCTAAGCCATGTAAAACAATCCTCTCTGGAGTGAAAGGAGACTCTTCAAAAAATATCTCCTGCATTAAAGCCTGGCAAGTGTAAGAAACCATTTGCAGTTAATGCCAATGTGGTACAGCTCCAATGTGGAGCTGATAAATTCTCCATCTCTCTGATGGAGAGGGATGCAGATGACACACAAACCTCTATGTGTTTGTGGATTTTGAAATATGTTTGTCTCTCCTTCACTCTGTGCCACTAAAATGATGATGAAGTGTAACTCATTCCAATTGCTGGGCCAGGAAAAGGGAAGTGATGCCTCTGCACAGCCCCTGGAGCCATTTTCAACATCTAATATGTTCTACCATGCTGGGTAACAGAAACAGCAAAGAAGAGATCTCAGTGCTCTCTTCTGAGTAAGTTGTGTGCTTTTGAATAATGACCCAATGCTCATTTATGTATTGTTTTCCCCCAGGGTATGGTCTGCACTGCCACCGAGCCATTATCACCATCTGCAGGTTGATTGGCATTAAGGACATGTATGCCAAGGTCACTGGATCCAAAAACTTGATTAACATCACCAGAGCTCTCTTCAGAGGCTTGACCCTACAGGTGGGTGCCCTCCCAGTGCCCATTAGGTATGGGGACAGGAGGGGATGGAATAGTTTGTGGGCAAACAGTTGATATTCCAGGCTTAAGGTGAAGTAATCTTACAAAGTGCAAACAAAATCAGCAAAGGGGGTAATTCCTCAGCAGCTTTATGGAGTTGTCCATCAGGAAGCGCTGTGTGTAACTCTGCCTGTTCCAGAGCCAGGTGTCTGCAGGGGACATCTGAATTCCTGGGCTTTCATTTGGTGTGGTTTTGGTGACTACTGAAAAATGCTGGGCACAGGGAATGGTGGGCCAGGTTTGTTTGCTGCTGCTTGTTTGTGCTCTAAGTTCTCACCGAGCAAGGAGTGAAGCCCCAGCTGCTTCTGTTGCTGCTGTAATTGAGACTCTGAATTCAGTCAGGGGGGTGGTGGTGGTGTCTCCACTTCCGAGTGCTCACAGTGGAGATGCCTGTCTGAGCCAGCTGCCTGGAACTGGTGGAAAAGCTCCAGCATGCAGCATTTCATCCTCCTTCCTTTGAACAGCAGCCTCAGGATGAGTCAGCCCTCTGGGAGTTCCTGGTTATGTCCTTTGTTTGCAGTTTTGGTGGCTGCCAAGGTTTAGCTGCCTCCATCCCTAATACAGCTCTGCAGAGCTGTAGCTGTCAGCTGTGTCACCCTGTCCTGGCCAGTGGCATCAGGTCAGCCCCAGAGGTGAGGGGGTTGTGATCCTTTTGCCTGGTGGGAGTCACAGATCTCCCAGCTTAGCAATACCTCAGGGCAGCCACGCCTGGGGAAGCCTGGCATTGGATTTTCAGTCCTTGTCTCTGAGATCCTTCCACAGAACAAACAGAAAAAAGGCCTGCTGTATAAATTACTGCTTTTGGAGTTATGCACTTGATGTGTTTTCTTCAGTGCCCTGAGTAGGAAAAATTTCCTGTCACCTGTAAACATTTACTCTGTAAAATCTGAGTGTTATCAAAACACCTTGTAGGCCAGGGACAGGTGTCATTGAAAATAATGTTACATTCATATATTTATGAATATATCTTTGTGTTAGTTAATGCCTCCTGTCTGGGCAGTAACTGGCACTTTTCTGTTATCAAAACAAAATTTATATCCACATAAAAATGTTCCTGCCAACAGGCATGTTTATGAGCAGGGTATGTTTTTCCAGAAGCAATTCCTCTGGGATGACACTGTAGGGCTGATTAGTGCATCTGAGCTCTGGCTATCTCAATTTTCTCCCAGTAAGATAAGCCATTTCATTTACACAGTGCTTGAACTGTTTATTAGGAAATTCCTCTTTGGGGCTTTCTCCCCTGCCCCACATCCCCTGTAGATCCTGGCCTGCAGTAAGCCAGCATTGTTTTGGCTGTCCTTTCCCTGTGCTGCTCCCAGGAGACTCACCAGCAGCTGGCAGACCAGAAGAGCCTCTACGTGGTGGAGTTCCGGGAGGAGCAGGGCCCTCTGCCCATCGTGGTGGCCCTGCCCCGGGGGCCTGTCCGGGAGGAGCCCGAGCCCGAGGAGGAGGTTCCCGACACGAAGCTGGAGTGGAGGGAGGTGAAGGAGGCGCAGGGGATGCTGAAATCCCCCTGGGCCAGGGTCAGGCGGGCGGCGTGCTGACAGCCCCGCTGCCTCGTGCCCAGCCGGTGCAGCTGGGACAGCCGGGCCCGAGGCACGGGCTCTGGCCTTGGGTTTCAGGGAGGCAGCAGGAGCTCTCTGTGCCAGCCATGGCTCTGCTGCCACCCAGGAGCACAATCCTGCCTGAGTGGGAATGCTCAGATGGAAGCCGCCAGAGAACGAACGAGTCTTTGGCTTCAGACACGCATTTACTCCATTCTAGAGGATGGTTTGTCCATGTTCCTTTCACATGCTCTTGGGGAACTGCTGAAAATACAAGCTTGTGAAAGCAATAAAGAATCACCAGAGTGGGTTTAGTTTGGGTTTGTTTGGGTCCTCTTGTTGCTGTTGTTGTTGCAAAATGCTGGTGTCTGGGAGGTGCTGAAGCAAGCAGCAGTAGTGGGAGCTCATGTGTGCACCTGTGTCTCACTGCTGGGGCTCAGGGCTGCAGTTCTGTTCCTCCCAGTCTGAGTGCCTGTCATGGCATGTCTCCAAATGCCAAAAGATGCTTGGGCCACCTCTTTTGGTAGTGTGGGAGAAAATACCTTAGCCTTCAAGACCAGCCTGGGAATTTACATTTGGAATTCTGATGTTAAAGACATTTAGGAGCAATGTTTTACACTGATTTCGGTGCAGGTTTCTAAAGACAGCAGTTGTGTATATACAGACAGGCAGGGTGAATTTAATTGAGTTTTATCTCACTTTTGCAATGAAAATTCTAGTTCCAGGGCCATGTCTTCTGAGCAGTGGGATGATGTTTTTTCCCCTCTTCGCCAGCCCAGTCAAAATACACCTTCAATAGGGATTGCCAGGTTTGCAAAGTTTCTTGTCACCAGCACATCAAGCTGCTGCTGGGGAGTGTGTGCTCATGTTCAGCTGGCATCTCTGCTGTTGGGCTTAGGACCCTACATAAAATTAATCTTTTGTGGCTTTACTGTTCCCACAGGTTTGTTCATATTAACACAGGGGCTTGTGTGCTTGTTTTACTCAGCACACAGATTGCTCATTGCTCACAGACACAGCTGGCTGCAAAATGAGAAATTGCATTTTCCATGGAGCTGGCCATAATTTTCTATTAAAAATCAAATTATTCTCCTGCCATTCAGGAGAAGATGGAGGTTCTCTTAACTCACTGCATTGCTGGAGGCAAGGCATCCAGTATGCAAATATTTGGAGAATGGTTAACATGGTGGTTAAACCACTTAGTTAAGCAAGAGCAACCAAGATTACAATCTGGGCATAGTTAATGAATATGTCTGTAATCTTGTTTTTAATAGGAACTGAGGCTTTGCCTGCCTTCAGGTGCACAGATTGGTTTAACTAGCATGTAATTGCCTGCTCTCCAGAGCAGATGCCTGCAGACCTCCTCGTCCTGCTGAGGAGGCTGGAGAAGAGCAGAGATGAGGATTCCACTTTCACAACCAGATGCAACCTGGTGGTGGCTGCAGGGGCACAATAGGCCCAGTGTCAGCAGTGTGAATGGGACTTGCAAATGCTCCGAAAAAAAGGCCGAGCTGTGGCTTTTTAAATGGGCTGCTGCATCCAGGCACAGCTGCAAGGGAATGCCAGCAATGGAGGGGTACCAGTCTGGGGGATCTGGGAATTCCTGAGCAAATGGGCTTTTGGGCCATGCTGGGACTGCAGTGTCTGTGTTCAACAAACTGCAGGGCCAGCCTTCCCACACCCTGGGGAGCCCTGCCAGAATGCCACTGGCCCCGTGGAAGTGTCCCCAAGGGAAAAGGCTTGCTAGCCTGCAGTGTCCATCATGCCCAATGCCCATTCCAGCAGAGTGACAGAAATTTCTGGGGTCAGTGCTGCCCTCGGGCTCTCTGTGGGGAGATGTGCTGCACACGTGGTCTGGAGGTCCTGGGAGATTCTCTGAGCTCTGGGCAGCATCCTTCCCTTCAGGAAGTGCTGGGGGTGTGCCACTTGCAGACAGCTCCCTTGGGCTGCCCAGCTTCCAGGGCATGGCTGTGCTGAGATGACAGGAGAGCTGGGCATGATGAACCTCTTTGGTGTCGTTTTCTCTTCCTCCCGCCGTGCAGGGAAGGGGCACGTTGCTGCCATTCAGCAGCCACCCCTCCCCTGTCCCTGTCCCCTGCTGGGGCCCTGCAGTCCCATGCCAAGCAGGGACACCCCTTCCCCCTGCTCAGCTGCCTGGGGTGCAGCTTGGGGTCACACCCAAGGCCCATGGTAGGGCTGCAGATCCCCGCCTTTGCCAGCACATCCAAGCAGAAAGGCATCTTTGTGTTCCCATGTCACATTCAGGGGCGTTAATAGAACCTGGGCACCAACACCCCACACACCCCACAATGATGGGATGATGAAACCAGTTTCAACAGGTGGGTGTTGGTGTGCCATTGTCCAGAGTGGCTTTGAGCTCCCTCCCTGCTCTGAAAAGGGATTTCTCTTCCCACCTCTGTTACAACCAGTTCCCTGTTGTCACAGTAACACAAGCAAAACAAGTCAGGCTGGTTTTCAGCGAGGAAAAAATCTCCATGAATGTTTTTCTTAGTTTGCAATTAAAAAGCTTCAAACCAAACCCATGGTCACAGGTCAAAAGTTTCCCTGGATATGAGGCAAGAGAGGAGCCTCCAAGTCAACTTTTATATTTCCCTCTTGTCCTCTAGTCCTGGTTGTTCTCCAGGAACTTCAGACTTAAAATGGAAGCATTCTTTGCCCCACAAGCTGGAAGAAATAATTTGGCACTGCTGTTGTTTAGGCACCTGTAACAGGCTGGAAGCATCCCTTCCTGGGTCTAAACCCCATTCCAGTTCATTCATTGGCATGGTTTAGCCCCAGCTGGCAGTTCAGCTCCACTCAGCCTCCTGGGGCTGTGCCTGGCTGCAGCAAAGGGAAAAAGAGCAGCAAGGACTCACCCGTCTCAACATCACAGCAAACCCATCTTTATTAGTGACACCGTGGCAGTGTGAGAGAGTAGCCATTCACCAAATGCAGGAGTTGATTGCCTCTGCTTACTGAGGATTTGTTTCTGTCACCCAGAGAATTCTCCTCCAGCCCACTGGGCCCCTTCCAGGTTCTGCTTTGTAGGGGGATCCAGGGCAGTGGCAATTCCTGGCCTTACAGTTGTGCCTCAGAATTCAGCAGCACCCTTCAGGAGCTGCAGCGATCCACATTGCTCCTGAGCAGAGTTAAATATTGTTCCCATTGCTCATTGCAAGTCAGAGAAGGCATTTGCAGAAGCTGCATGAAAATATTAATTTGTACAGCAGTTTTAGGGGGGAAAACAGACTTAAATGGGCACAGAGAAATTGGAATGACAGTTTCGCATTTGTGCTCCTTGGTGTTTGTTGTTCACTTTTTGCCTGAAACCAGTAACAACCCTGGACACATAAAGGTGCAGTCCAGGGATATTTTAGCCCTTTAAACCCAACTATACTATGTTTTTTAAAGCTGGATGGATTTTTTGTTTGTTTGTTTGTTTTGGCCCCAGCATCAAACTGTACCCAGCCTGTAAGATATTGAAGGGAAACAGATTGTGCCAGGATATTCCTTTCTCTGGCAGGCTCCTTGTCTTCACCACCAAGATCCCACATAAAAAGCTGCTTGCTTCTAGGCTATACATTAAAAAACAAACCCCAAACCCAGGCTGGAGAGGGCAGCTGTTGTTCCTGGGGCAGTTCAGGCTCTCAGGAGGATTTCCAGCGCAGGAGCGAGAACACCTGGTGGATCACGTACAGCAGGGTGGCCACGAAGGCAAACACCTGTGGTGGAAGAACAGAGCTGTCAGGGCTGGGTGGCACAAAGGCAAACACCTGTGGTGGAAGAACAGAGCTGTCAGGGCTGGG